ATTATATGTAAATTAACTGGATTACAGTTCGCTGCCTGATAGAATTTGGCTTGGTTTAGAAGGCCTGATGATGTATAATAAACTTTACCATTCTCAGATTGACAGCACATCAGTAAATTCTGCTCATTTCCTTCTTTATAACCCACCTGCCTTGGATTGGATTTGTGAACTTTGAATTTATAAGCAAACAACAAAGGAAGAAGACAGGCAGACCAGGAAACAGCTAGCTAGCTGAATGAGGCTCCCTGTGCTCCTTGGGACTCAAACACAAATAGGTCTACTTCTTTCTGCTTCTCATACATGCAAGGTTTGTTCCTGCCTTCTGGGCCTTTCCCTCCACTGCTCTCTCTGCCCATTTCTGGTTCCTTCTCATAATTCCTGTTATCAGCCCAAATGTTTCTTTTACAGAGGCCTTCCCTGAGGACACTTTCTAAAGTAGTGCCCCAAGCAACCATCTCCCGCACAACCCAGCCCATCATCCATATATTTCACATTTCGCTATCATTGCAGAAGTTTGCTTCTTTCCTGTCTACCATCATTCAAATGCAAACTTAATGGTAAAAGGGGGAACTTCTCAGTTTTGCTCACCATTATATCCAGGCATCTTGAAACATTGAATGACTGAATGGAAAAGCGGTAGAAAATGATTAAGAGCATGCCAGTGACCAACAGGAAGATCCAGTTTGGGAAGTCATGGGAAGCTCATGTGGCCAAGTTCTACGGTTACCTCTGAAAAAAGATGGCGGGGAAAACTAAGAGATAAGTTGGAGAAAAGAACGTGGGGAAAAAAATAAATACGTAGTCTAATGGAAATGGAAGGAAGTTCTCACTTTAACTGTGACGCACCATTTACTAGCTGGGGAAATACAAACATTAGGAAGGAATATTGCTAGCTTAAATAAATTCTCCTCCAGCCGATACGTACATGCTCAGCCGCATCGGGCTTTCCAACTATCACCACAGCACTATGCCAAGTTATGAGCCATAAGGCAAGGCTCCAACTTTTTTCTGGACTCAACCTTCTCTTGCCTGTAAGTTCCCAGCAGTCTTTTTCCTGAATCAATACCAGAGCCCTAGTCCTATGGCACTGAACTTTGGAAATTTTTCCATTCGTTTTGGGTTAAGAAACTGTTAACACTAGCACAACACTATAATCATCTAAAATATAACTTAAAATAGCACGAAGTTCACCCTAAGCTCCTAGAAGGCAGGGGTAAAATCTTGCACGTCTTTTTATCCCCAACAGTACAGACATCTGCTCTCAAATTGACTGAATAGAGGACACTCTGTGACCAGAGATCCTGCAATATAGCTCAATCTATACAGGTAAATATTACAGTACATAAAGATAAAATGATGACAGGTAGGGCAGCTATTTCCTCTCAAGGAGCAATCTTAATTATATTTTTAAAAATGTGATACAGATTTCTATTTCCTATATTTAATAACAAAAGACCATTTTACCTAGGTTCCAAAGCATTTTGTAAAATGGGAAAACTCCATAAAATGAAGGCTGAGGGGGGACGAACGATAGCAACTTAATTTTAGCAAGAACTTTAAAATATAAAGAGCTTTATAAATTAACTTTAGAGGATGCAATTTAATTGAAAAACAAAGTTTAGTATTAATTATATTAACTTAGGAGGAAACAGTTTATTTCTTTTTGGTCTTTTCTCTTTCTTTTTTGAAAATTATGTATACCAGGCTATTAATATGAAAGGCAAGGAAAGGCTTATAATATTTTGCCTTCTGACTGGCAGGTGTTTTTACTTGAAAAGGCAAAGTTTTCAAAATGACAGCTCTGAGAAATGAGATTAAAATTGGTATATTCTTTCCTACATAAAGTATCTAAACACAAACAGCATCTTTCTGAATTAGCTTAACAGGCATGGCAATTAAGTTTTTGAACTTGTTGCAACGTTGCTAACCTTTTTTGATATCAGAGGGATCATTCATTATGAATTTGTACCAACTGGACAACCAACCAAGTTTACTGTTTGGAAGTGCTGAAAAGACTGCATGAAAAAGTCAGACAACCTGAACTTTTCGCCAACAATTTATGGCTCTTGCATCACGACAATGCACCAGCTCACACAGCACTGTCTTTGAGGGAGTATTTAGCCAGTAAACAAATAACTGAATTGGAACACACTCCCTGCTCACCTGATCTGGTCCCCAATGACTTCTTTCTTTCCCCAAAGATAAAGGAAATATTGATAGGAATTCATTTTGATGACATTCAGGACATCAAGGGTAATACGATGACAGCTCTGATGGCCATTCCAGAAAAAGAGTTCCAAAATTGCTTTGAAGGGTGGA